CCCCCCCCCCCCCCCCCCCGGTAGGTTCTCTATGGTAATGTATTTTTGTCTCTATGTTAGGTGAACCCAGATGTACAATGAGTGGACTAAAAGGCGATGTCCCAATCACGATTACACCGATTGGTAATGATGTACACAGAGCAAAGTACACACCACTAGTTGCAGGTATTGCCTACTATACTGATGTATATTTATATTGGTCGTGTACAGTAAATTATTAAATATCAAATCTTTATATCTCAAAAATACAATCACATGGCCATGATTGTTTCATTACCCCAGTGTTAACATCTTGTGATACTGTTTCATAACCTTTGACATAACCCAAAAAAAAAAAATGACAGAGATGATTTGTCTTACTAGGTGCCTATTTATTGCATTTAACGTGGTCGGACAGACAGGTCGAAGGATCTCCATTTAAAGTGTCTGTGGCGCAGACGGCGAATGCTGGTAAAGTTGTTGTCACTGGTGCTGGTGTCCGGGAAGGAATCGTAGGTCAGCCTGTCAGAGCTGTCATAGACACTAAAGATGCTGGACCAGGTGTGTTGTCATAGAAACATGCCGAACTTTTTAATTTTTTTTGAAAACAATAATAATTTGCAATTTTCAGTAATTAGTGAATTTACTAAAATACTAATATAGACAATTGTTGTTTTCATGTAGGTCAATTAACAGCACGTTGTATGGGACCTCGTAACATTACAGATGTCGATGTTATTGATAACCATGATGGCACCTTCACAATGTCACTACGACCTGAAGAACCGGGAAGACATATGTTAGAAATCAAATATGGAGGAGACCATATCAATGGTCAGTACAAGTCATTAAACAAATACTGTGTCTTTCTAATCTTGTCTTAAGAACTGGGTACCACCATGAAAGTATCTGAGACAGTTCACATTAACCATGCTAGTACTAGGATTCTGTGAGCAATAGCATCAAATACAACCATATGGTAAGAGTAATCGGAATCTGGTGCTAAGTTATAATGGTAGCTTAATTGTTTGTTATTTCTTTTCTCTAATAGGGAGTCCATTTATTGTTCGTGTCGCTGGACCTCCAGATGCAACTAAAGTGAAGTGTTTTGGAACAGGAATGGAGCATGGTATCCTAGCAACATATAATGGTAGATTTGTGTGTGAAACAAGGGGTGCTGGCGCAGGACAACTAAAAGTTAGAATTCATGGACCAAAAGGTTGGTGGTGAACATAGAAGGTTATATTATTAGTTAGTGTATATGTGTTAAAGCTGCGTCTGTGTTCGTGCGTGTGTTCGACAATTTTAACTTGGGAGCTGAGGTCATTTCCCACTTTGAGTGGTCTTTTCTAGCCTGGAAGCATAAGTTTTAATTTTCAGCTTACAATCTGTATTTACAGCTCAGTTAAAATATTATTTTCCCAGGTGCCTTCAAAGTGGAAATGACGAGAGACAATCAGAAAGATCGAACAATTTTAGTGAAATACAATCCAACCGAAGTCGGAGAATACACTCTATCGGTGCGGTGGTCTGACAAACACATACCAGGAAGTCCATTTGAAATAAAGATCGTAGACACGCAAGAAGAGCTAGAAGAAGTAAAAAGACGCTTCCCATTAACCAGCAGTATTTCTAATGATCAAAATGGTTGGCAAGAAGAAATTTAACTTCTTTAGTGTAATTTGGATTTTTTTCACACTTCTGTCCATTTTAAAATAATCTTACTATTTCAGAGAAACTAACATCATTTTAGACAATTATATGTAATCATCGCAATTGGATAATTGATGAGACAATTAGAAATCCATCCTACAAGCTTTTTTGTGCTACATTTTTATCTAATTTTGGACCATATGGACTACAGGTCTCCAAGACAATCAAAATTTTGAAAAAAAATTATAAATAACGTGGATTTTCATTTTTGAAAAGAGACAAAGTTGACTTTGGCGCTAAAATGGCTAATATCAAGATATTGAAGTATTGTTACTATAATGCCGACTTTACTAAACTAGCAAAATATGTCAGTTGCTTTGGAAAGCGGGAAAATTAAAAGATAACGATGATGAGACTATACCAGCTAATACAAATGCAATGCCTTATTTTTATTCATTTGTAACAAACTGTCAATCATTAGGATAAATGTATCAGTGAAAACAAATGATTTAGATAATATGTGTATATATTCAGAGAGAAAACTTTGATATGAAATCTTTAAATTCAAATATATATTCAGAGAAAATGCTGATGTTGGTGAAAAAATACTTTTCATATAAATTATATACGTTTGTTTGCTTGTTGTTCTTAATACTTGTCATTTCAATACTTGCTTTGTCTTCATTGTTAATATCCATGATATATAATAATTTTCTCTGCCCCTTTTTTGTTTTGTTTTACAGCAATAGCATATATGTAGGTTTTTTAATGAATCATGCATTCACATTCATGGTGTAATTCTGAAAGCTGAACTCAGCTCAGAAATACTTCATTTATCATGCCACAAACAATATTTTATATTATTTTATTATTTTTCGAATTTTGTTATTCATAACAGCATTATAGAAGTTTATTTAAAATGTACATGATACATTTCTAAAAAACAACAGTATTTTAGGTTTAGCCACTAGAGGGCAGACTAACATTAGCTCGGTTCACTTCTTTGTCAGGTAAATATTTACTCGTTAAAAAAAAAAATTCATAACCTTTAGTGCTAAATAGCAG